CAGAATGCACACTAGTACGTATAATGTGAAGAAAGTACTAAACGAGCTAGATATATTAGAGGCAATGGGATCAGACATCTCTCAATGACTTCTGAGAAAGTATCACAAGAAATGTGTGAACCATAAACAGCATTCTTTAACAATCATTTGAAACAGGATTGCTGACTGAGAACTTCAAAACAGTGAACATAGCTCCTATATTTAAAAAAGGTAACAGGTAGGCAACATTAAACTTCAGGTCAGTGTCGATGACATGCCTAGTAATGCAAGGTTGTAAAGAACATATTCAGGAGAGGAGTAATGGAGCCCCGGAAAAGAGTGGTATTATAAAGGAAAGCCTGCACGGTTTTAGAGGTAACAAATTCTGTCTTACAGATCTCCCAAAGATTCATGACAAGGTAATGTAAGTTAGGCAGGAGAGAGATAAGTAAGTGGATTCTATATTTCTGGATTGTAAAAATGCAGTCGATACAGTCCCTAAGACACTGGGATAAAACAGCTAGAGTGGATGGCAGGTATAACAAGGAAAACTCACCAAGAGATTAAAGAATTCTTAAGGAAGTAATGAGTAATTGGGAGGAAGTGTCAGGATGCCTGAGTGTGGCAAATGGCAGTGCTAGATTTAGATGATGAGAAGCCCTAGGCTATTCCACGTGTGAGGGCCCTCCTGATCCCCCATCCTCACCCTAGAGGAAGATGGAAGAGTGTTTTAAACAAGAGCTTGATGACGGGTTTTAAAAATTCCGCGATTCAAAATTCTTCCTCTAAAGGACATAAGATATTATTGTTAAATACCGTAGTGATTGAAAAAAATATATATATATGTTAAAATTAACACCGTGAAAAACTTTTGCAATAACCGAACTTTGTAAACATTTTGTGGAATATGGAGGATTTTTTTTAGGAAAATAAAATTATAAGTTTACTGTTATATTCTTTAAAATACATATATTTTTTTTTAAAATACACATTAAGAAATAAAGAAACTACAATCATCAAATACACGAAGACTAACAAAGTTTTCTTCTAGCCTTCCTAATAGCAAAATCATCCAAAAGATCATCAAACTTTGTCTCAGTTTGTCACTTTCAGTTAACAATGTCCAGTGCAGATAACGTCTCTTGATACATTGTGGCCCTTGACAAAGACATCCCTCCTGAGCAGCTGGTGATCATCATCCCTCCTGAGCAGCTAGTGATCATCATCCCTCCTGAGCAGCTAGTGATCATTAAGTTAAGAAATAGCTGAAATATTCCTTCCACATTAGGGAAGTCCATCTGAATTTTTTCCTTGTATATAACTTGATAAAGGTCTTTATGGTACAGTGACTGTTCTTCTATAGGCTTTGTCTCACATACCAGTGCAAGTGCAAAAGTTCATCAGTAAGTTACAGGTGAAAATCAGTGTATTTTGCTGCTGAATTTCTTGCTTCGATGTCAGATTAGCTAGAAATGAAAACGATTGTGCAGTATTACTGTACACAGTAGCTCCTCTTCTTAAATTAACTTCAAGTACACCTAGAATAGGATTAAAGGATTTTATCCTTAGCTAATATTTTGAAAAGAGTTGATCTAAGGCATCAGGACGCGGTGCACTTCCGTCATTTCCTTGTTTCCTTTGTCTCCTTGTGACAGATCTATAGTTAACATTTGTCAAGGTGGCTTTTGCTTCTTGCTCAAGGTCAAGAAGATCTTCTTTAATTTTGCTTTAAAAAAAATCCTGATATGAACTGTACAAACACGCACAAGTACTCACTAACAGTTCTGATCCTAATGTCGAATTTTTGGCTTAAGACAGCATTGTGAAAAGGATCGCAAGGAGGAGCATTACTGAAGGGTTCTAAAAATGCTTTGTGACAGCATGTGTACGAAAGGTCTATAACAGTGTCAAAAATATTATAAACCTTGGCCGGAGGCCTCCTAGTTCTTGAGGCCCTAGGCTTCAGCCTGCCAAGCCTATAGGTAAATCCGGCACAGACGAGTGGTGTTCTACAAGGCTTAGTACATGGATCAGTAATATTTCTTGCGTATGTAAGCGCTGTGACTAAAGAAATCGAGTCAGAGAGGTCCTAGTTTGCGGATAACAAAAAACTAATAAGGAGAATATCTCGGGAAGCAGACCAATAAAGACCATAAATTGATCAAGCTATTACAATTTACCTCCAGGAAAACCAAAGTAATAAAAATTGGGGAAGGGGTAGGAAGATTGAAACCAGAGGAGTGGTTCACTTAGAAGTCTGCAAAACCTCCCTCGAAGACAAGGACCTCGGGCTGAGCAAAATTGTGTGCAATTTTCCTAAGTCTCCCTTCAACCAAATTAGAACTTTAGCAGAGGCGTAATTGGCAAATTTAAGGGTAGCTTTCATAATCCTCAAATAGGTGGCGAACCCTGTCATATGTCAAACCTACCTTGGGGTTTGCAACTCCAGCAAGAAAGGAAATTTTGTTTAGCATGCAATGAAGCTGGAAAAAATGCATTGGTTTGAAATGAGACTTGACCTAGAGGTGAGGGTGGGCTCTGGTGGCCTGGTGGTTAACGCTCTCGCTTCACACGGTGAGGGCCCGGGTTCGATTCCCAGCCAGAGTAGAAACATTGGACGTGTTTCTTTCCACCTGCTGTCTATGTTCCCCATCAGTAAAATGGGTACCTGGGTGTTAGTCGACTGGTGTGGGTCGCATCCTGGGACACTGACCTAAGGAGGCCTGGTCACAGACCGGGCCGCGGGGGCGTTGACCCCCGGAACTCTCTCCAGATAAACTCCAGAATGAGGAGAGACTGAAAAGTTTTAAGAAGATATTAAATGATAGAAGGAAAAGTGACATGATTATTATTTACAATGAAAAAAAAATAAAAGGGTTGATTTATTGGACGATGAGTCTGTTAAAGAGGCGGGTCCGATACATAATGGCGCAGCGCAATGTTAAAAACACAGATGAGTCACAAGGATATTAGGAAATATTTCTTTAACTAAGAATGGTCAGGAAATGGAACAACCTGGAGAACCAAAAGATAGAGGCAGGATCCATACTATGGTTCAGGCATCAAAAGAAATAGTTACACCAGTAGAGGCCAAGGGTTAGGCGGTGTTTACCTGGAGAGTTTACCTGGAGAGAGTTCCGGGGGTCAACGCCCCCGCGGCCCGGTCTGTGACCAGGCCTCCTTAGGTCAGTGTCCCAGGATGCGACCCACACCAGTCGACTAACACCCAGGTACCCATTTTACTGATGGGGAACATAGACAACAGGTGGAAAAATAAATGAACACACACAGGCACACACTGGGCCAGAAGCTCTGACTCGCCCCCTGCAACTACAACTAGGTGACTACACAAACATACACAAGACTTCTGACACAGTACATCATGCTGTAAGAAGGCTTCGGTACAGTTCCAGACCCACTGTAAGAAGGGGCTTTTGACACAGTACTGCACAAGAGACTGGTATTAAAGTTAGAGGTGCAGGCAGGAATAACAAAAAAATACTGCAACGGGTCAAGGCGTACCTGGCAGAAAGGAAACAAGAAGTGTTGTTCCGTGAAGAGGGATCGGAATGGGTTCAAGTGACGAGAGGGGTACCACAAGGATCAGTACTAGGGCTGGTTCCATTCCTTGTATAAATGAATGACGTGATTTAAGATATATAACCTGAGGTATTCATTTTCACAGGTGACATGAAATTAATGAAGAACACACAAGCAAACGTACACAAGGAAAGACTACAAGTTGAGCTAGATAGACTGGTTCCTGGACTGTAACCTCAGTATGTGTTAAGTTGTGAAGTTTGGAAAAGGTCAAAAACCGCAGACAGCTCGCGGGAGAACAAAAGCTGCAAACCTCACTGACCGAGATCAACCTTGGGGTGAGTATTATACTGAGCATATCACTTAAGTCGAACATCAGCCAAATAACTGCTGCAGCAAATGCACCTACGGTAAATCTATGACTAGCCTTTAGACATCTAAATAAGAAGTAATTCAAGATACTATTTATCATATACATCATTCCCATATAGGAGTATGCAGCACTAGTATGGAACCCACACCAGGTCAAGCATGCCAAGGAACTGGAGAACGTGCGGAAGTTTCCACCGAAACTAGTCCCGGAACAATGGGGAATGTATTAAGAAGAGACGTTAGGGACGTCAGGCAGATGATCCTAGAAATTTTAGAAGACTAAGGTGTTCTTCACCATCTCCAAAGCCGAGGAAATGATTACCTCATCTTATGTATATAGTTCTACAACCTTCATATTGTGTCCTTTTATTGTATTGATAAAGCCACTGGTTGGCAAAACGTCTACAAATAAAGATACCCAGATGTTACACATGTGTGTGAATCCTCATTCTGATTGAAAAATATATTATTGAAAGAGAAAACATTTGTAGTGACAAATAATTTAGTCAAGGTCAAGATTTTCTGGGTAGAAATTTGGAACTCCTTTTGATGTTAATGCAATTTGGTGGCGAGGAAATTCAGGACATCATCCCTGGTACTCTAAAGAACAAGGAGTCCACATCCAGACTTAACATCCTTTCATTCTGCAGGTTGATGTTTCTAGCTTTTTCAATGACGTCTTCTGATGTTTCAGATGTGACTGGAAAAACTTGCTGAGGAAAGGAGATAAAAGACCGCTTAGCCATTTGGCAAACTTGCGATAAAAATAACCTCTACAGGAGAGGACTACGAGAAAAAGACCCTCTGCTGGAGAGGATTGGTATCAATGGTACATCCTGCTTGTGGGTTTTAAGGTAACTCATAAATGTAAAGGAGACGTGGGTTTGTTGTTTTGAACTGAAGTAGAATGTCATTTTCCTTTTTGTTTTTCTTTCCAGTGGCTCGTTAAGTTGGCTTGTTAAAGTTGGCTCATACGGTAGGGAGAGGATTTTCGGTAAATTTCTCGTATGTGTTATTGTTATTTAATAGATCATAGACATTGGTGAAGTAATCATTTTTGTTTAAAATTGTTATCATGTCCCCTCTGTCTGAATTAGTAAATATGATGATGTTATTGTGTATAAGTTCTTGTAGAGGAAAACTGTAGCACTGAGGTAAACCATTGTTGTCCTTTAAACATTCCTGGATACCCTCAAGTCAGTCCCTCAGCCTGAGGGACTGACAACCTCAAATCTACGACTTCAAGGGTGATGGACTGATTACATCGTCTTCACATCTCTACTGCTCCCGCCTACTTTCTGTACTCGACTGAAGAAGCCTACTGTGTAGGCGAAACGTTTCGGAATAAAGTTGCCTAAATGTTGCCTATGTGTCTTATCTACCAACCTGTCGGTATTGTATACCATTTGATATTCGCCTTCGATGCTCTAAGAATTTTCGTCATTATCGTTGATGACTATAATATGCCCTCATAGCTAACTCAAATAATTTTAACATCTCACAGGGAAAATGAAATTCTGTCGTCATTTCAAAGTTCACCCACAAGAAGTACAAACGAGCATCGCAACTAATACAGAATGCCAGCACAAGGTAAGAAATTACATAGCACAGACGAACTTCCTATGCAAATTTTAAGCTCTACTTCAAGACCTGTATTCACACTCACTTCGGGGCCAGGAGCTATGAATCGGCCCCTGCAACCACAGTTAGGTGAGTACACACACACAAACTCACAAGTCATATCTATGGTGACAGCGGCGGTGACCGGAACAGCAAACTCAGCATTATTTGCCTGACATATAAAGGACTGATCTAGGTGGTGGCGCTGAAGAGATGCCACTGTCAGGGTGCTGACCACCTCCCTAGGGGTCTCAATCACTTCTCCTCGTACCTCCTTGTGCCCCGCCCACCACGTTAATCTGGGCGGTGGACGACCTGCAACAATGACAAAACGAATTAGCGGAACATGATAATTTACGTACAAAATTGTTAAAACAAGCTTGTCTATAACAAAAACTTAAATTCATAAATATAAAAAAAATCTTAACACAAACCTTAAACAAAATGGTTAGTAGTTAAACATAATCCTCATGGGAAAAGTATAGTATTCTGTAGTTTAAGAGATGCTCCATATTAACGCGTACAGTTGAGGCGCTCTAAAGCAATGATTATTCCTCAATGATTCCATTTTTTAGGTGACAATGACCAGTAGGTATCATACAGTGTCAGGAGATTAGGAGGCGATCAAGTTTGATCCAAGAAAGATAAGAGTAGCTCTAGTTCCTCTGATGAAGACATCGTATCTTACATGAGTTTCCCTTCATATGAATCACTATGAAACGTTTTCTAAGGTATGGGAAATACCCAGACACTTGCCAGATACTATCAATATTTAGAATTTTAAGCCTTTTTATATCATTCTGAAGTTGATGGAATTCTAGATGATTGTCACGCCACTAATTGTTATGCTTCAGTGCTTGTAGAATGACAGTCTTTAAAGCCTTAACAATAATCTACCTTCCAGGCACCATGAACAGGCGTAAGTGGCACCTTGCTCTCTTATTCTTGGCTTCCCTCCTCCCTCATTCTACCAGAATCGCTCGACTGTTTTACTCAGATCTTATCCTCTTTCCTACAACATTCCAAGCTCTTGATGATGTGTTGACTGCAACACGAAAGGCCTTGAGCTATCTTTCAACTCTCCCCATGGTTGTTTTGCATAAATTACAATTTTCGGAAAATATTTATTATAGAGAAGATAGACAGATATGCACCGATGGTTTACCTAAATATGCTGAATGCGAACAAGAATATTCTTGATATTTGCCTTCCAGTAAGATCCAATCTTTAATAGGAAGTCAGATGGAATAAACCTGGAATTTCATAGATTTTGTTTGTTTTTATAACGTTTGAGTTGTCTGGACTAGGAAACTGTTTTTTAAAAAAATAAGATTAAAATTTTTTATTTCTCTATTGATATTACAATGTGGGGTTTACATATTATAAAAGATTATTGTATATTATAAATTATTTATTAAGAATAAGGCCACTAGTATGCCTAGGTATGCCTAGGCATTTCGGGCAGACTAACACTATTTTTTACTCTCTATTGACACAAGTTACGGATCATACTGGTATTAAAGTGAGGTAGCTGAAGTGATTAGCTAGATTTACAAAATGAGGTAGTTCGGACATGGACACCAAGCCCAGCCCTTCCAGGGCAGGGTAGGTGCCTGAGCCAAAGCTTGCAGCGTACACGACTGCCATTCCCATTAGCCACCTTGGGGTGGGGATGGCCGACCAGAGAGGCCTAGCTTCTCTCTACGAGCCCCGTGAGGGCGGGGAATGTGGCTAGGCCTGGGGACAGTTGGTCCCGACGATGAAGAGGTATTTGTACCTCCTACCATGGCAGACATTAGTCTGAGATACTCCCGAGAAAGGGAACCAAAGCCGGGCCACCACTTGGAGAAGGCCCGGGCCGGGAGAGTACCGGGGAATCAAGAAGGACAAGATGAGGTAGTTCAAAACATTTAAAAAATTAAGTTTATGTTTTAGTGGGAATGGTCTCGTCTTGGGATGATATAGTTTCTGTTAAGCTCCTACAATGGAGTACCTTAGACAAACTTGTGACTAGCTTAAGAATTATATAGCGAAAACTAGATTCAGAATCTTATGTTGACAGAAATTATTGTAAATTAGGGGGAGTCACAGATATCAAACAAATGTATTTTGTTTTGGATATGTGCAAGCTGAGGTCGTTTTCATGTAGTTAGGTACCGGTGGGGTGTGTTAGAGAGATAAGGTTCTTGTTAACAGTGCTTTTGAAAATGGTGGTTGAATCGGCACTTCTAGAGTTTTCACGCAGTGAGTTCCGGATTTTAGGCCCTTTTAAGTACAATGAATTTTTGTTCAGATTTAGCCAGACATGGGGAATGTCATAGAGATGTTTGTGTCTCGCATTATGCCTATGGGCCCTGTCACAACTATCAAGAAAGTGTTTTAGTTCAGGGTTAATATTGGATTTTAAGATTCTGTAAATGTAGACTGCAGATTATTAAGTGTGGACGTTCTGAACAGTAAGTTTAGGTCTTTGAAGAGTTGGGGGTTGCCTAGCACTGGATTGTGTGATAATTCTTACTGAGGCTTTTTTTTGAGGGGGGGTTATTGGCTTTAGTTGGGTAATTACTGTTGATCCCCAAGCACAAATGGCATATGTGAGGTAGGGATAGATGAGTGAATAGTATAGTGTGAGTAGGGCTGATTGTGGTATGTAGTAACGTATCTTACAGAGGATCACAACAGATTTGGATACTTTTTTGTTATGTGTTGGATATGGGTGTTGAAATTCAGGCTGCTGTCAAGGTTTAGGCCCAGGAATTTGCCCTCATTATGCTTAGCAAACTTACTGGCAGCCATCCAGGTTGATATTTTCAGGAGCTCTTCATTAACTACGGTGATGAGTGTGACAAGATTTGGGTGGGAGATGACGTAAGTAGTGTCGTCAGCAAAGCGAATTGGTTTCAGGTGTTGTGATACGTTGGGAAGATCATTGATGTATAAGATGAAGAGCAGGGGACCCAGGACACTTCCCTGTGGCACCCCAATATCAATTGGTCGTGATGATGAGGTGTCCTTAATGGAGACGTACTGATACCTGTTAGTAAGGTAGGATTTGAAATATGCAAGTGCATGGCCTCTTATACCTTAATGATCAAGTTTGTGGGTAGGATGCCGTGGTCTACTGTGTCAAAAGCTTTCCTTAGGTCAGTAAAGAGTCCTAATGGATATTCCTTATTTTCCAATGCACTATAGAGCAGGTCTAGCATTTTTACTATTGCATCGTTTATGCCTTTGTTTTCCGTGAAGTCAAACTGGCAAGGGTTGAGTATGCTTTATGCTGTTATAAACGAATATAATCTCTTGTGCAATAGTTTCTCGAAGATTTTGGATAGTAATGGTAAGTCTGACATTGGCCTGTAGTTATTTACATCTGTGGGGTCACCACTTTTGTGTATTAGTGTAACCCTTGCTGTGTGTCAGGAAGGTGCTAGTTTCTAGTGATTTGTTAAAAAGTAATGAAATAGCAGGCGAAAGGGCATGAGCCGCTCGCTTGTATAATAATGGTGGGACTCGAGACAGATTCCCTGATTTATTTTTAAGTAACTTGATAATCGTGGTGACTTCGGTGGGCTTGGTAGGTGCAAGATAGATGGAGGATGGGAAATTTCCATTTAAGTAGTCACTTGCTTGGGCGTTGGTACCTGGGATTTTACAGGAGAGGTTTGATCCTAAGGTTGAAAAGAAGTCATTTATCTTGTTGACTGTATCAACAAGCTGTAATTGTGATTCATTTGGTTTAGTTAAAACAATATCCCTGTTTTTTTCAGTTTGTGGGTGCCTGGAATCTGAGAGAGTGTTTTCCAGATCTTTTTTATATCTCTTGTTTTGGTAAATCTGCTGGAATAGTATAATTGCTTGGCCTTTCTTATCAGTTTGGTGAGAACTGATGCATAGTGTTCAACAATATCTTTATGTATTAAACCCTGCCTATATTACCTTTCATACTGATGTTTCTTATCTATAGGCGTTAGTATGCTATTAGTTAGCCATGTGCAACCTTACTGTTTATTTGTAATCTGTTTAATTTTTATAGGCACAAATGTTTGTTGTATAGTCTGAGTAATTATTTAAGGAATATGTCAATCCAATCGTCGATACCGTTGGCACTGGAGAATTCTGTAGGCCAGTCAACTGTCCGTAGCTCTGTTGTGAAGTTACTTATTGAGGCCTCATCATGAAGTCTATAAGAAATTTTGTTTTATTCCAGTGGTGGTTTACTAATGTTTGTTAAGAGGAAGGTTGGGTAGTGGTCTGTAGAGTTGTCTGTGATTATCCCTGATTTAAGTGGGGCTAGTATATTGGTCCATGTATGGTCAATTATGGTTGCAGTTGTCTCTGTCAGCCTGGTTGGTTTAGTTATTGTTGGTATGAGAAGTGTGTTGTTCATATTGTTGATAAAATCAGTTACAGGCTGATTATCTGGTAGGTCAAGGTTGATGTTGAAGTCTCCAGCTAAGAGAAGGTGGTGCTTGTTCATTTGTGTGTTTGTTATTAGTGACTTTAATTTATCGCTGAAATTAGGGATGTTTGTATGTGGCATCAGGTAAATGGCACCGATTGTAATAGGAGTCTTAAGGTTTTTTGCAGTAAAATTTTCAAAAAATATATTCTCCGTTTTCATCACTATAGTAAGTGGTGTTATAACAAGACAGTTCGTTAGAGTAATAGATCGCAATACCTCCCCCAGCTTGGTATGGTCTGCACTTGTGGATTCTTGTGTATCCTGGTAGTGAGTAGATATCAGTTGTGTCCTGCTTAATCCAGGTTTCAGTGAGAATAATACAGGAGAAGGTTGTCTTTAGGGAATCAAGGAGTGCCAGGAGGTCATCACAGTGTTTGCTCAGGGACCTGATATTGTAGTTAAGAACTGTAATATTTTTAGAAGTATTTAGGACAGTGCTGGCTTGTGATGCTGTATAATAGTGACAGTTACTTTCCATTAAACTTTGATTGGGTGTTGGATTATATAGATTTAGATCTGGGTCGACGTGATCATTCATCATTTAGGTTAAGTGGTCGCCGGGTCGCCATCTGGAGAAGACCCGGGCCGGAAGTACCGGCAAATCATTAATGAATGAATGGTTAAGTGGTAACTCGTTTTATCATGTACAGTGTGTTGAGTTCCAGTACTGGTATCTGTAATAAGGGGATGTTTGGACAAGTGTATAGATAATTCCTGTTGGTCAGGTAGAGAATTAACTAGGTATAAGCTAATAAGATCAAATTATAATACCATGTAGCGCCAGTCTATGAACTAGAGTATTAACTAGAGTATTAACTAGAGTATTAACTAGAGTATTAACTAGACTATTAAC